ACGGAACATAAGAAACTAGGGGGGGGGGGGGGGGGGGGGGGAAATCTTAAGGGCAGTTTCTCTTGCAGAGTTCAGAGCAGTCTTAAATATCTCCAGATGTTTTCTTTTTTCCTGTTTTTCTTCTTAATTAAATAAAAACAGTAAAACTTAAATACAGCAACCAGCGTTAATGCATGGCATAGATTAAAGCCAACCTTTTCAAACCTGAGGTGCTAAAGTTAAGCTCTTAAATCCAACTTTGACTGGATTGACTTTCCAGATCTACAGATAGGTGTTACAGGTGCTAGGCTTTGCAGATTAGGTCCCCTGAACCCTAGGCACTTAGAGATGTAGACAGAAGACAGGATCTGTACGAGAGGGTGAGAAAAATCTGAAGATATTTGAATAGTCTTAATGAAATAATTAAGATTTTAAGGATTTTAGTGTATTTAACTACTATTAAAAGCAAAAAGCACATATGCCATTGCTAGAACAGAATGAGTATCTGTAGCCTGACTGTCTTGGTTTAAATGATCCATATCCTAGAGGGCTAAAGGACTTAAGAACAGTGGGTGGATTGTTGGGAGCAACATGAACTAATGGAGAGAACACTGGACTCTGCCTCTGTAGTTCTGGGTTCTCCTTCTAGCTGTCACTGACTCTCCTGGTGACTGCGTGTGATCACTATGTCTTGATCTCATTTCTGTGAAACACAGGTATTAATGCCTTTTAATATCTTTTTATAAAGTGTTTCAAAAATTTACTGATGAAAATGCTATTTAAGAAGTAGGGTTTATCAATAATAAGTGTAATAACCCAGCCTGGTTGTTTTGTATTTGTAATCATTTTTGTTAATAAGATTTCAAACAGAAAGAAAACACAAGCCTATGTTTTCTCCTCACTACAATATCGGAACAGTGTAGGGAAATTGGTAAATACAGGACATAAAATGGGATGTGTGTGTTCACAAGGAGTGCATTTTACATGGCACACTTTTCTCTAGAGTTACATAATAAGTTACTCAAATTAGTCAGAATTCTAATTAATTAAAATCATGGACTTTGATACCATTAGCCAAAAGGGTGATTTCTCTCTGTTCTTCTTTTGCCAACAGATGAAGCGTACCAGCCAGAATAATGAAGGAACTGTTGGTTTGTTGACTTATCCTGTGCTTCAAGCAGCAGATATTTTGCTGTACAAGTAAGAGGCAGAATGTGAGCCCATGGACAATGTCTGTTCAGCTGCGTTAGAATGAATGTTCATCAGGTCAACATGCTAACTTATTAAGTAGGGGAGCTGGGTGTGATTAGATCAGAAGATTGGAAATGGATGACAGCTTTTTTACCTCTCAGGTGGCTGGTTGAAATCTAGCCTGGCTTGAAAGCAACTGACAGGGCTGTAAAGAGAAAAAGCTGGTCACTTCAGAACAATTCTTACAACACATTGATGTTTAATTATACATATTACGTGTTCACACACATACAAATACATACATTTTTTTAAGTAGTTATGATTTATGCAGTGTACTGTAGAGATACTTAAGCTGGCTGTATATAGTATACCCATATTAGTGTGGGATTCTGTGTAGGCCTGTTGATACTGATGAAAAAGTGAGTAATTTACTGCACCTTGTGGTACCTGGGCTAGTTCAGTTTTCTCTGTGGTATACTATGTGCTGCAATGGAAATACACCCTAATGAGGGACTGGTGACTCAGCATGCCTAAGTTTGTGGCCTAGCTGATAGAACTTGTAGTGCATTGTCATGACTGGTTGTATTTCATAATATGTTTTAAACTGTCTCAATAAGTAAATGTCAGAGACAATGCACTATATATTAATTATTTTTATGTTCTGAGCATATGTACTTTGTGGAATTCTTCTGAAGTGAAGTTGTGAATATTTTTGGGGACAGAGAAGTAATACATAACTATAAGGGCAGGGACTTTAGGAGGACAAAGTAACCAAGACTGGCAAGTTGTTAACCCAGAAAAATCTATCTGGAGAAATTTAATCCTAAGTGATCATTAGTAAGAGAAAACAGTAATGTTAGAAGACCAGTAGATGATATTTCTAATTCACTTGAATTTTAACTGAAAATATTGGGAAGCAAAAGTCAGAATGAATTTGAACACTAAAACAATCTTCTAAGCTGAGAGTCCCATTTGATTGTCAAGCAGTGTTTAAAGGTGAAATTCAGACTTTACCAGAAATCACCTTGTTTTGATTGAGCTCAACCATGTATGTCTCTTCCATTTCTAATAAGATCATGTGATTCATCATTCCTTAGCGAAGCCTGTGGTTTGTTTGCTACCATGTGTATTAGCAGCAGGCTGTCCAGACAGCACAAAACAGGGAAGTGAAAGAGAAACAGTATCTCTTTGAAGAAATTTGACATAATATCTTTAAGACATGTTTTAATGTAAAAACATAACATAGGGAACAAGAATCAGGGAGAAGTAGAAACACAGAAAGGGAACGGCAGTCATGAAGAAGAATTAAGAGCTGGAGGAGGAGGAGAAACAGTACTAATTCAGGTGAACTAAGGATCAAAGAGACAGGAAAATGGACAGAAGGTAAATATATGACAGAAAGGAATAAAAATAGCACCAGGACAGAAATATTAAAAAAACAGCAAGGAAAAAGGCAAAGAATCATGCAGAGGCATTTATAAAGACAATATGTTTTCTGTTTAGTGGCAAACTTTGTGAATGTGGAACCATTTTGGCATATGGAAACATTTCTTTTGACCTGCTTAAAGTGTATTGATTATGGTAACTGATTTTCTTTCTGTTAGTTGTAGGCCACTGTGATTTCCTATTGGCTACTGTAACTGTTTTTAGGTTGCCTTGCTGACTGTTTGGTGGGGAATAAAGGTGGACAAATTGATTCCTGGATGTCAACTTAGTAATTCAGAATTGGAAGGAAGGAGTACCGTGTTGAACTGAAATTTTCTGGGAACTTAGAAGATGCATAGTGAACTTTCTTACACTGGAACGTATCCAGGATTCAGAGCTGAATACCCCACAAGCCTTAGAAAAAAAATCTGCTGGGGGAGGGGAGAGGAATCTGAAGCTGGCAAGACTTCAAGTCTGCCTCATCTAAGAGAATCATACATTTTTAGCAAGTGTGATTAACTGTAGGAAAGAATCACCAGGGGAAGTAATGGATTCTTCACCGCCTCATGTCCTCTGATGCAGATTGTGTTTTCCTCCAGAACTGCATTCAAGCTACTGAGTTCAATACAGAAGATCAAATGATCCTTTGATCCTAACAATTCTAATCTATGAATGAGAACACTTGTGGCAGTAGAGGCACTGGCCCACGTGATATTTATATAATGGTGACCCATGAGGAAGAACCACTCTCTTCTTTCCTTCCCTTGATAAATCCACAGTACTAACTTCTCAACAACAGTTATGTTTTCCTGAGACTTGACAAGGCAAGGTACTGGCGCTTTATGCCTTGCAGATCTTTCTTGCTTTGTTCACACACTGTAACACGTGCTCTTTGATCTCTAAAGAGACAGCAGGAGATACTACAAAAACCTTTCTTTGAGCTGAGTTTAATGATTTGCTCTTATTGGTATCTTTACCATGTATGTTTTCACGAAGGGCTATTTTTGCCCTTGGAGATGTGCTTCAGTTCAGCACAAAAAGCAGACTCATCCTGGGATGCAGTCAGCTTGGTATCTTTTTCCCACAGCACCTATATCTAGCTGGGACTGAGCGTTTGGCTCAATCTGGCCCTCAGTCATGGCAGAAGCTGTGACAGTCTTGAGTAACATTTCAGCAGAAACGGAGAGCTTTGCTGAGTTTCCTGTATCTGTCTTTTATTAAAAGGTCGACACATGTTCCCGTTGGAGAAGATCAAGTCCTGCACCTGGAACTAGCCCAAGATATAGCACAACATTTCAACAAGAAATACGGAGAATTCTTTCCTGTGCCCAAAGCCATTTTAAGTGAGCTGGTCTTGGTTTGTTTTTTTTTTTTCTTTCCCCTTAACTGCACTTCAAGGTTGAAGATGGATTTAAATATTGTGGAAATAGTTTCAGGGACCAAGCAAAGGGAGCAAACTGATGCTAAGGGAGTGGAAAATTAAAAACTGACAACAGGAGACTAGAGGCTGTGAAATTGAACTCCCAAGATAGACATAAGGCTTCACAAATCCCCGGTAGAGGAATGTATGCGACGTCTGGTATTCTAGTCCAGGGGGCCAGATGCACTCTGCTGCTGCCAGTCAGCCTTGCTCTTCAAGTGTTGGACCTTTTAAGAGTAGGGTCTCTGCTCCATGTTGCTAGTTCAGGAGACATGTACGGAACAAGACAAGAGACCCCTAGTAAGCAGATTTCTTCAATGTCTGAGTGGTAGATGTTTACATTAAGCATGCTAAACAGCTTGCAGCTTATTGCTACAATGCTCAAATATCTTTTAAGTGTGTTTAATATATACTTGCATATTTCAGTAAGGGTCTCTTACAGAGCTTAGACTTTCCATTTTTGATCTTAGGCTCAGGGAGACTTACAAGGAAAATCTTCTCAGCCATTTTTGAGCTATAAGGTCATAGGCCGGGGGGCGAGGAGGAGTCAGATGGCACAAATGGCATGTTTGTTAAGAAACGTGAAGAACTGGGCAAGGAAGAAGCATTGCATCTTTGTTGTAAGTAATGTAGAGGAATGCACAGCAGAGACCTTCGCCCCTAAAAGGGCAAGGAGCTCTCACCTTAGAAAAGACAGGCAGTAATAAACCTTTCTCAATTTTCAAGCCTCAGTGACAAAAATGGTGTTAGACCCAGAGTGGAGCTTAGAGAATACTAGGTATTGCAAGCTCTGCAATTTCTAATGAACAATTAAATACTAAACACTGTAATGAGGAGCTGAGTGTAGCCTATGATGCAGGCAAGACTGTTTGCCAGGAAATAAAAAGCTCAATTTTAAAAAAAAAAAAAAAAACAAAACTTTAAACTTTCCTCATTTAAAAATATACCTTCATAAGCGCACAAGTATATGCAAACCAATGAAATATCCTAGGTGAATGGAGGAGTTAGGGACCTATTCAGACTCACTAGCTGTAGGCAGTTAGATTACCTGGACCCCTTCAAATCTACAGAAGAGAGACAGACTCTTCGAAAAGGTGATTCAGAACAGAGCACTTTCTGGAGCAGTCTGAATTGTACCCTGGAAGAACACTTATCCTTTCACTGAATACATAGGCTGTCTATGAGGAGCATGCAGGTAACTTAGTTGGCTGTATTAGGTGTCTAAAAAAAATAGGTGTGAGTACTTTCTAGATCAGTGGTACTTTGTGTACTCCATGAATGATGTTTCTTGATGAAAGACTGAAACAGTTTGGGTTTACGCTGTTAAAGAAAGTACTTTGCAATATTCCCCTAATGCTACTATTCTATTTCATGTACACGCATATATCTTAGTAGTTTGTACAATACCCAGCCTCTCTTATCTGAACAGTGCTTTCCTTCTAATGGAGCTGGTTAGTGTTCCGTTAGGGAACTTCTAATAACTATCTTTATTGATATTTAGGAGAATTACCAAGAGATTTTGGGTGGAAGATTTTCCTAAAGTAAGGAGATTAATTGTTCTGGGATTCTTTTTTACCAGTGGATTTAACCTGTTTCTTCACTGTTACAGAACCTTTGAATGATATGCAGTCCATGCTCTCTAAGTAACTTGTCCCCAGTGCCAGGAATACAAGGGAGGAGAGAGTTTTCAGGGAAGATCAGCATGTAGCCACAGAAAATATTAGGAGGTGTCCCAGCAGAAGTTTTTGCTTAGTGAGGAGGAGAGAAATGGAGCAGGTTTTCATTTAGTTTATGGGAGGAGAAAAGTGGCTTAGAAGGACAGGGAGGGCATAAGGACTAAATAGGAGTGTACACGATTGTGCTCACAACTCATTTTTAAGCAAGGGTAAACAGAATTTCGTCATACTGCTACAAAGTGTTCTTAGCGATTGTCATAAGAAACTATTGTCTGTGTGTGTTCATAATTCTTTCTTTTTTTTTTTTTTAAGGTACAACAAAGAAAATAAAATCCCTCAGAGATCCAACAGTGAAGATGTCCAAGTCAGACCCACAGAAGTTAGCTACTGTTAACATAGCGGACAGCCCTGACGAAATAGTGCTGAAATTCCGCAAAGCTGTGACTGACTTTACCTCTGAGGTGACCTACGACCCAGCCGGTCGCCCTGGTGTCTCCAATCTGGTGTCCATTCATGCTGCAGTAACGGGGCTTAGCATCAAAGAAGTGCTGCACCAATCTGCTGGTCTCGACACTGCTCACTATAAAATGGTGGTAGCAGAGTCAGTTATTCAAAAATTTGCACCTATCAGGAATGAAATCAAGAAACTCCAGGAAGACACATCCCATCTGATAAAGATTTTAGAGGATGGAGCAGAGAAAGCCAAAGAACTGGCTGCCCCCATCTATCAAGAAATAAGACGACTGGTGGGGTTTCAGTAGAAACTGTTGAGTAGTTGCAAGGACTTTTGTTTTCTGGGACAGACTTTTTGTTATTTGTATCTTAATCATTTTGGTTTGAAACAAAAACTTTTTTTCATGGAAAATCCAAGTAGAACATTGAAAGTGTTTGCATTAAAAAAATGTGCATAAAGCCAGATATTTCCAGTGAGACCAGCATTGAGCTTGTCTGGATAGTGAAAGAGGGAGGGCGGAAGCAATCACAGTTCACGAAGAAATCCTGCAAAAGCAGAATATAAGGTTGCCCAAATGGGGTTTTGGGTTTTTCCATTGATCACTGCAAGAAACAGATATAGGCAAGGTGATCAGAATCTAGCAGAAAGATTTGTAATCTTCTCAAGAACATCCTTAGCTGTGCATGTGATCTTGTTACAGATGGACAACTCATCCCATTGGTGGTTATTCAGCTTTGATATGGTGGTTGAATGTGTTCTTGGATAACCAGAATAAAAGCACAGGCTTACAAATCAGAATACTCAGGCTGATGAAGAGAGAACTTACTGCCTTTCCCTATCGCGTCTTCAAACTCAGTGTAATTTTGTATCTGCATCTAGTTTGTGTGAAGTGAGTCAGTGTGTCTTATGGATATGGATATCTGTACTCTGAAACTCACTGTGACTACTGTGCTAGATGGCCTCTTTGATAGTCACTCTAAAGAATCCAGAGAGCGGACCTGAATTTCACTTTTGCCTCCTGTGTCATCCTGCTGGTCAGGTCTAGGGTATTTCAGTGAGGAATGACGTGTGCTTCAGCTGCTCCTATTCCACCTGCTGTTTGGTTTAGCAGGGAGCTCCAGGATTTTCAGTTCAGCATCAAGTCCAGGATTCCTTTAGAAAAGGTGCAGGGGAAAAGATGTAATCCTGTGTGAAAGAAATCTTACCTTAAGAAATCAGAGAACTTTCTGTAAAATTTACAAAATCACTTGTTTAGAAAATTGTGCTGATGTCAGAGACAGAATGGGATTAAATAGATCTTTATGAAATCGCACTACTGAGCCTCAAGAAAACTCAGTGATGGGAGAATGGTGTTAGCCTCCGCTGATCTTAGGCCTCACAAAACCCACAGACTGGGACCCGTGGACCATGGCATTTGTTGGGGAATATGGCAAAGGGAAGCTGCCAAAAGGAGACACCCCCTTCTGAAGCAGGGGTAGTAGTACATGTTAAAAGGTAATGAAAGCCCTACAGGTCCTGTGCCAGCATATTTAGGTGTATCATTGCAGTTACTGGCGCTGTGTTTGAAATTGCTGTACTGTAATGTAAATTGAGTTCATCCTGTACTCTGGCAGTTCATAACCATTATAGGCCTATGGCATTTGTCATGAAGGATTGCAGTCTTACATGACTGAGTTAGTAAAATGGGGGGGGGGTGTCTGTGTAGTGCAGTTGTGGTTTTGTTTTTCAAAAAAAAGTTATTTAGTTTTAAATTTAGTTAATTATCATAATGAGGTGATTCAGAAAGAATTATTTAATTTTGCAAAACAAGAAGTTGTGGACTGAACGTCTGCGTCTCTGTACTGAGGCCTCTATTCATTTGTTAGGGATCTGAAGAAGAGAACTGCCATGCAAGAACTTGATGATGACAGAGTTTCTAAAATTAGTCAAGACTAGAGGAGCAGAGTGGATGGAGACAGAATGATGGGAAACCAAATTCGGTGTAGACAAGTCCAAGGTAATGTCCTCTGGAAAGAATAAGTGTATTCAAAAATAGTCCCTGGTTTCACATTATCTGTAGCGGATTAGGAAAGGGCACAGTTATAACTGTGCATATTTAGCTAGTTATACAAAACTTTTGTCAGTGATTAACAGCTGCATTAGTCTGCCTGAGAACTAAGACAGAAAATTAAGGCACACAGTTACCGCTGCTTACTGACTTGGTATAAAAAGTTTGCTGTGACACTCTAACATTTCTGCAAAGGTCCCAGAACAGGTTCCTTAAGAGAAGCTAGCACAGCGCTCATAGGGATACTGAAAATCGTTAACACTAATGTATCTAGTTTCTACCTGTTCCTCTTTTTCACTAGCAAAGATAGGAGCATGCATTCAAAAGACGAATCATAGTTTCAAGGTGTCTTTACACTTCCGATACTCAAATCACCTAATATATAGGGTTGGAGTTCAACACACCTCCTTTGCAGTGAAAAGGAAATAGGAGTATTCATATGCCTTCAATACAATTTATTTAAGAAAAAAAAGGGGGGAGGGGATGACATCAACAGACAATTCTGCCTCGTTACCCAATCTGTTTTTAGCAGTCTTCCAAAATTGTTAGGTTTTTTTCAGAAAATCACGTAGGTGAAGCAGGAAGAAAAGCTTCAAAAGAGCCCTTTCTTTTGGGTAGGGGTTTAATACATTACATATTTAGCAGTGTTTCAATCAAATTTACTGTTTTCTCTCTTTTTAATTCAAGAATAGATTGGGGTTTTCCCCTTCCCTTTCCCCTGTCAGTCAAACAAATCTTACTTGCCTGACCTATTTCCTTCAAGTAAGGAAATATGCCTGTTTTTTCTTCTTCAGTAGAGTTAAACTTGTGTAAAATGAGTATGTTCACCTACTGATTGTTGACTTAGCCTTTTTATTTCAGTAGCTCCTGTGGAGGAATTCTCAAAACAAAAGCTGCATCTGCCCGGTGAAATAATCCCAATTCCACTAACAACGATGATCATTAAGAGTCCCCTGAGAGGAGACAACTGTAATGTAGATGTTTGCAGGTATCTGCTGCCTATTTCAGTTTTCTTAGAGCGTGGCTTTTCTGGGAAGTTAACCATCTTGGCATTCAGGTTAAGAGTCTAGCTGGACCTAGCCTGGCTGCCTCTGCATTCCTTGAGCCGTTTACTTGGCATCTGGAAGAGTTTGGCAGGAAGAAGCTGAGCTTGAAGCAACGAGTGCTCGCTACTGTCAGTAAAAGTTGTTTGATACCAAGCTACTCTGATCACTTTGCTCTTCTTCTACCTCCCTGTTTCCTCTTCAGAACATTTTTGTAAGCACCCGTTCTAGATGGTGTTCTGTGGCAGTGTTTGCTTTAGCAAAGTAGTGCAGATGAGTTAGGGCAGCTTTTTAGAGAACAGTTGTTGGAGAAGGCTTGATGCTGTGTATTTCAGAAGGATTTGTTTCACGCTAACTCTAGTCCAGTGTGCCGTTTATATCTGGAGTGCAGTAGGTGCACTCCTGAAATGCATTCTCATGTTTGGTTTCATACAGTTCATATTCTCTGAGACTTCTCTGGGATGCCTGCTGAAGTGCAGTTAGTGGGGACAGTGGGGAGTTTCTGCAGAAGCACGCTCCTGATCCCGACCGCAATGCTACTGTAGACATGCCCAGTGGTGCTGTGGAAGTCATTGTAAAATGTTCTTCCAGGACTGGACGGGAAAGAGATCAAATCACATCTTTCCTAGTTGAAGAAAGAAGAGTTGAAAGGTGGAGAGGTATCCTTACCCATTGCTGTGTTGCTCCTTGTTTCAGCTTCCTTTTCTTCAGCAATCCTTTTCCTCGAATATGTGCAGTAGTGTGTCTTAGTCTTGAAATCTCCTCCTTTCCCATCCCTGTATGTTTAGTGCATGGGAAGTAAGTACATATGTAGTGGTTGGGATCTGCAGTATCAGACCTAGCATCTCCAGGTAACTGAGAGATTCACTTACCTTTAGAGATGAACATCAGCTCCATTGTGAATAACTTACTAAGATCTAATTAAAACATTTATACACTTGAGACCTTTATCTTTGTGGCCAATGGTTCCTTATCACTTATCAGAAGACGCTGACAGCAAGTCTCAGTTCTGTGCTCCCAATTTAGAGCACAGAATTTACTGGGAATTTTAGATTCAGGAACAATGTTTTCTTTAGCAGAGACTCCAGATGATGATTGGCCTCAAATTAACTCTGGCACTGCTCCAGCATCTGCATACATCCCTGCCTCAAATAACTGGAGTGTATGTATATTGTACATTATACTGGAATTTGTTTGTAACTCTTAAAGATGTGGTTGAAGTATACTTAGTTTTCAAACACCATGATTCTCAGATTCTCCAGAAGGCATTGTTCATAGTTCTGTGTTTATCTACAAACAATTCAAGCAAAACTCCTTAGCAGGATTATGGTTGCCTCCATTCAAGGTTAGGGTGAGCTGAAAGGTTAAGGAAGGACAGTGAAATGGGATCTTTGGGGACTGACCTGCATCTGAATGTTTTGGGTCTATAGGTTATCAGAGCAAGCGTTTTCCTATCTTTGGTTAGGGCCATCATGATCCTGACAACAGTACAGCAGTAAATACTGCTGATGAAAGCCTTTAGGTCAGCTTATGTAGGAACTCTGTATCTGATTTGTTGAGGACTGTACTATAACATGAAACTTAACTTTTCTGGTCTCAATAGTTCGGATAATTGTGTCAGCAGAAATCTGTTTGGAAATCATGAGCCAAAGCCAAATCTAATCCTCAGATCTAAAGCCTTTGGATGGTTTCCCAAAATGGAGATTTCCCAAAACAGCTTGTTTTTGATAAGCTACAATACCAATTTCAGTAGTTGCTGTAGGATCAGTAGGAGCCAGAGGTCCATTCTGAATGACTCATTCTTATTTTTCATTACTGCTGTGATGCACATTCTACTTACCCATATGGCTCAAGGATCATGATAAAACTCAAAGAGGGTCTGTGTGTGGTTCTGGCAATAGCAACAATGTGGACCCAGGTGGGTTTGAGTCTTGAATCTAATGAGCATGCTCTTTCAGTGGTCCAGCTTGGTTAGATTTATGTTCAGAACAACAGATGGATCTTTCACCTATACTGGTATCTCTGCATTTGAGTTCCTGGATACTGCCTACCTGCTTGTTTATGACTGATTGCTTCACAGAGAGAAATAGCCTAGCATGCTAGCATAGGGCGTCTAGTGGAAAAGGTTTTCTGCTCAGGAAAATGTTACCTGTTCTTGCCAAGAAAACAAAAACCCTCTTTCTGCTATATTGGGCTATCTAATTTCTTTTAAATGATTAGATCTGTTCCTTCTTTCTGGGTAAACTTGGCAATAATAGCTGCAAGAAGAATGCCACTTTATTGTTTAGTCAGAAGTCTTGGAAGGACCCAGGCATCTCCTCTCATCATTTCAGAAGTCCCTTATATTGTGGGACTTTACTAGTTGGATGAGCCAGTTTCAGGGA